ATCTAGGATGAGCACACAGCTCTATTTTCAATTGTAAAGTTTATGTTGGCCAATTGACAATTATACATGGTATATTGTAAGGAGTATGGTTTTTCTGCCCGCCGCCGGTCTTGCCCCGCCACCACTCCACCAGCCCCAAATAACGCACAGAGACTCTGTATTTGATATAAAGCTGTTGGCCAGGTACTAGTTTCTTATCGGCTAGCTCTGTCTTAAGTATTAACCCATTTCTATGTATTTCCACGTGGTCTTACCGAGAGTGGAGGAATGGCAGTTCTGTTCTCTCCATCTCTCCATCTTGACTCCTCCTTACTACTTTCTCTTTTCTCCTCGTCTCCTAGTCCCGCCTATCTAGCTTTCTTATTGGCCAACAGTGCTTTATTCATTAAACCGGTATGAGAAACATATCTACAGAATGACATCTCCCATCAGTATATGAGACTCACAGCTGAATATTTAGTTATGAGGAAATTTTTTTGAAAACCAACAAATACAGCATTTTTTCCTTATCTTGAAGGAAATCCTACTCATTTGAAAATGACCATTCATAATAAAATATCCTGTGATTCCATGGCTGTTATTTTACAGATGAATGAATTGAGCTTGAATAAAATGAAGACACATAAGCACATTCACATATGGAAAAAGTGACTCAAGGGGCTGGAAAGATGGATCAGTAGTTATGAGCATTCACTATTCTTCCAGAGGTCCTGAGGTCAATTCTCAGCACCTACATGGCAGCCAAGAACTCAAGAACTGCCTTTACCTCCAGATCCAGGCAACCAACGCCATTACACCAATGAATGTAAAACAGAGTCAATTTTAAAAAAAAGAAAGGAAAAAGTGACACAGATGAGATTCTTTGCTGCCACGATGCTATCCTAGTCTCTACTGCGTCAGCGTTGCTTTACCATATTTGTTGTTACATGTTTTTAATAGACTTTTATTTCAATTAGAAACAATCTTAGTTTACATACCAATCCCAGTTCCCTCTCCATCCCATCCTCCCATGCCCCTCACTGATCCCCCCACATCACCCCCATCCACTCCCCAGGGAGGGTGAGGGGATCATCAAAGTCTGTCACATCATTTGGGACAGGGCCTAGGGCCTAACGCTCCCCCATGTGTCTAGGCTGAGAGAGTATCTCTCCATGGGGAAATGGGCTCCCAAAGTCCATTCCTACACTAGGGATAAATTACTGGTTCCCTTGCCATGGGGCCCCATAGAATGTTCAGGCCTTCTAACTGACACACACATTCAGGAGGCCTGGTTCAGTCCTATGCTGGCTCTCCGACTGTCAGACTGGGGTCCACAGGTCCCATTTGCTCAGGGCAGCTGTTTCTGTGGGTTTCCCAAATATGGTCTTGACCCCTTTGTTCATCACTCCTTCCTCTCTACAACTGGATTCCAGGAGTTCAGCTCAGTGCTTAGCTGTGAATCTCTGCTTCTGCTTCCATCAGCTACTGGGTGAAGGCTCTAGGATGGGATTTAAGGTAGTCTTCGATCTCATTATAGGGGTTCTTAGGTTGCTTAGGTTCTTAGTTGGGGTCATCCTTGTGGATCGCTGGACATTTCCCTAGTGCCAGATTTCTCTTCAAACCTGTAATGGCTCCCTCTAGTGGTGTGTTTCTTTTCTTGCTCTCCTCTATTCATCTCCCCACTCAATCTTCCTGATCCCTCATGTTCTCCTCCCCCTCCTCTTCTTCCCTCTTCTTTCTCTTCCCTCCCTGGGCTCACAGAGACTGAAGCAGCCAGCATGGGTCCCCACCACGTCCTCTATGTATATGTTATTGCCAATAGCGTGGTGTGTTTGTGGAACTCTTGACAGTGGGGGCCAGTGCGTCTCTGACTTTTTTTGCCTGCTCTTAAGACTCTCTTCCTCTTATTGGATTGGCTTGTCCAACCTTGATATTAGGTCTTTCTCCTTGTCTTATTGTATCTTATGTTGCCCTATTTGGCGGTAGTCTCTTGGAGGCCTCCTCTTTTCTGAAGAGTAAATGAAGTGGGAATGGATCTGGGGAAGCTGGAAGTAATGGAGGTAGTGGGAACTGTGGTCAGTCTCTGTGAGCCCTGTATGAATCCTGCTTAGTTGATTTGGTCAGTCATGTTCTCCCATCTGACTTCTACAATCTTTCCTCCCCCTGTTCTGCAAAGCTCCCCAATCTTGGAGAGAGGAATCAATTTTCAATTTAAAAACAAAAGGTGACCTGGGTGTTGGTGATGCATGCCTTTGATCCCAGCACTCAGGAGACAGAGGCAAGCAGATCTATGTGAGCCAGCCTGATCTGCAGAGCGATTTCCAGGACAGGCTCCAAAGCTACAGAAACCCTGTCTTTAAAAAAAAAAAAAAATGTGATCAAAGGCGTAGCACAGCAATAGAACATTTGCCTGACATGCACAAGGTCTGGGGCTTTTTCCCAGCACTAAGAAAAGATATTATCACTTGAGAGATTCCAAGGATGTTTAGAAATTGTACTGCAGGCTGGGCTTGAACATTGGGAAGTCTAGTGCAGGAGGCTTTCAGTTGGGAGCCAGACTGAGCTATGCAGACAAAACTGCCATCAACCCTGACAGGCTGAGTTCCATCCCAGGACCCACAGGGCAAGAAAGAGAGAAGCAATTCCCAAAAGTTGTCCTCTGGCCTCCACATCCATGCAGTAGCTACATTCATACACAGTAAATCAGTAAATAAATGTAAAAATATTATTCCAAATAGGTGTAATGGTATTTGGTGGGGATTTTGGGAGTTGTTGTGGTTTTGGTCATTTCTTTGTTTGGTTTTGATTTTTTCCAGACAGAAATTCTCTGTGTATATATCCCTGGCTGTCCTGGAACTCACTATGTAGACCAGACTTGCCTTGAACTCACAGAGATCCACCTGCCTTTGCCTAACAAGTGCTAGTGATTAAAGGCGTGGACCACCACCACCAGCTGTATTTGGTTTTGGTTTTTTTTTTTTTTTTTTTTTTTTTTTTTTTTTTTAGTGCTCAGCACTCACCAGCAAGTGATTGAGGAAATCAATAAATATAATCTAAGCCTCTTCCACCCATCTCTTTAGTTTCCTCCATCTCCCAGTTTCTTATTCTCATCCTCCAATTCTCAGTCATCCAATACTGAGAGAACATAACTGAACATTATTTTTGAGTAAAATGCATCTCATTGTATTAAAAAAAAAGTCTCACTTGAGCCAAATTTTAAATTGATTGAAACCTGATGGAGTGGAGAGTAAGCTAGGAGGCAGCATCCCCTATAAATAGCCATCGGAGGTGGCTACCACTCGAGAATTCGGCTGATGGCCGGGAGAGAGACAAGCAGAGAAGAGGTGAGTCCAGCTAGGCAATTTCTTCCTCGGTTCTCAGCTCTCTGCCAAGGGCAAAGGAAAAACTTCTCAGTGAGGTGATTTACCACCCGGCAAGTGTGGTGGCGTCTGAGGCCACACAGTGTAGGGACACAGAGCTCCCCACGCGAGCAGAAGGTGAGACAGGCACCTTCAACACACAGCCTGGAGAAGTGGTGGTCTTCATTCTCTTGAGCCAGACCAGCAGGTGACTAACTAACTGTACAAGGTGGGAGATGTATCATTCCCATTGGCTCATTCAATATCTGGGTGGGACAGTTGGAAAGTTCCTGGGTCAAGGCCAAGGCTATCACTCTGTGCAATAGAAACAGAACACGACCCACATGGGTAATGACAAACTTTCTAATTATTAAAGTAGAGAAAGTAAAATTTATCTCAATCTATTTCGATATCAAAAATAAAGAAGTTGGAGAGATACCTTGGAGAGTAAGTTGGCTACTCTCACAGAGGCACTAGGTTCGATTTCTAGCACCCACTTGGCAGCTCACAACTGTCTGTAACTCAAGCTCCAGGGGATCCAACACCTCTGGCCTCCATGAGTACCAGTACTCATGTAAACATATCCACATGTAGATACATACAACTATACATATGTAAAAAAAATATTGCTATGTATATATAACACACGTGATTAATCTTAAAATGTGAATGAAATAGTTTGTGCTCTTTTTCTCATATCTTTCTAACTGGGTATGTTTTTTATACTCATGGCACATTGCAATTCAGTTAAGCTACACTGTGTTAGGAGTAGGTTTTTCACCGGCGGGTCTGGTCCCACTGCCTTGCCAGCCCCAATTAACACACAGAGACACTGTATTAAATATAATTCTGTTGGCCAGTTACTAGTTTCTTACTGGCTAGCTCTGTCTTAAATATTAACCCATTTCTCTTAATCTAAGTATTTCCACGTGGTCTCATCTTACTGGAGAGAGAGCCCAGCATACGACCCTGTAGGTCCTCCATCTTGATCTCCTGTCTACTACTTCCTCTTTCCTCCTAGTCTTCTAGTCCCGCCTATCTTGCTTTCCTATTGGCCAACAGTGCTTTATTCATTAACCAATAATAGAAACATATTTACAGAATGACATCTATCTCCCATCAACATTGGACCAGTGAGGTGGGTCGGTGGGTAAAGATGCTTGCCACCAAGTCTAACAACCTGAATTCAATCCCCAGGCCCCACACGGTAGAGGGAGAAAGCTGACCATACAAGTTGTCATTTGGCCTTCACACGTGTACCATGACACACACACACACACACACACACACACAATCTCCCCATACAAAAATAAACATTAAATATTAAATAAAGACAGATACACTCCCTTTCAGGTACCCCATAGCCACATGTGGCCTAGTGACTGCCACACGGGACCATCTAGACACGGGCTCTCACACCCTTTTAACCAGAAGCTCAGGGAGGAATCCTGTCTTTTCCATTTTCTGTTCTCCTAAATTCAAAGTTATAAGTCTGTTATTTCTGTGAAGGTTTTTGTTTTGTTTTTGTCTCTGTAACCTAATTCTAATGACTGTGATGACCCTGTGTCATCGCGTGCAAAGATGACAACTGTCCCAGATCTAACGGTTATTCAATCATGAAACTTCCAGACCCATGTATGTTTTTCCCTTCAGGTGTTGGCCATGGCTCGTTTCTTTAAAGACAAAATTTCCTGTCGTTTCTGTGCTCATTATCTGGAAAGCCCTGTGTACCTGAAATGTGGGTATATCTGCTGCCTCCGATGCACTGAGTTTCTAGAGAAAAACCCCCAGGGGAAGGGTATACTGTGCCCCAGCTGCACAGTCATCTCCTTGAAGGAAGATATCCTACCTGCAGTCCAGTTAGAGCACCTGATTACCAAAATCAAAAGACTCGAGCCACAGATGAACTGTAGTCTAAAATTGAATCCCAGGATAAAGATATTTCAAGGTAAGAAGTCTTAACAAACAACTCCAGACCCATACCGCACTCTGGGAGAATCAACTTTCCAACATCTCCCCGTTAAATTTTGAACATTAGCTAAAGCCAGGAACTTCAAATCTTTTTCTTCCCAAAACACAGCAGGCTCTCATTTCTCTGAGTAGAGATTAGAACTAAGTGGGGGGGGGGGGAATGTCTGCCTCTGCCTCCCAAGTGCTAAGATTAAATACTATGCTCCTAAGACTTTTATATGTGTGTGTGTGTGTCTACATGTGTATGTATATACAAATATATACATTTGAGTGCTTGCCTGCATATATGTATGTCTGTTCAACACATTCATGCAGTGTTCATGGACACAGGAAGAGAACACTGAATGCCCTGAAACTGGAGTTACAGGTGGTTGTGAGCTGACATCTGAGTGCTTGAAACTGAATCTGGGCCCTCTGAAAGCAACAGCTGCTCTTTACCACTGAGCCATCTTCCCAGCCCATGCTTCTGGATTTTTTTGTTTTTTGATTCAGGGGTTTCTCTGTGTAACATCAATGGCTATTTTGGACCTCTCTCTATAGTCCAGGCCGGCCTTGAACTCACAGACATCCACCTCCTCCTCTTCTGCCTCCCAAGTGCTGGGATTAAAGGTATATGCCACCACAGCCTGCCTGGTCAACTTGAGTTTATTTTGACACTAGCCTGGAAGATAACTTTTCAAATCTGATAACATATAAGCTACCTGACCATCTGATTCGAGGCAGATTTTGATTCTGGAACAGTACATTTTCCTGAGGTTGTCAATTCTGACACAACCCAGATTGGCAAAAGCCTGTGTCAGAAAATAAGGCCCCTGTCTAACATGGAGACCCAGAATGGGAAGTGTTGGAGAGTCTGCAGGTGAATCTGATCTGCAGAGAACTGTAGGCAACCACTGATGGATAGATCATCCTGGCACGCAGGGCCCCCAGGTGAGTGTCGAAAGCCATCTGATAATAGTTCTAGTAGATTTAGGTCTAGTTACAGAGTTACAGGTCTAGACCCAATGGCTACACCATGTGCTTTCTCCTCTAGTGCTACAAGAAATAATACCTGGATGCACATCATAAGTTAGCTCTTCATTATTGGTGTTACCAGTTTTTGTTTTGTTTTGTGTTTGTGGTTTTTTTGTTGTTGTTGTTTTGTTTTGTTTTGTTTTGTTTTTGTCTTATTTTTTCATTTATTTTACATACAGACTGCATGCAGTTTCCCCTCCCCCCTTCCTCCCTTGCTCCCCTTCCCATCTACCCCTCCCCTTCCTTCCTTTCAGAAAGGGGCAGGCCTCCCATGGGCTGGATCAAAGCTGGTTAACTGGCCAGCAAGTCCCAAAATCTAGCTGTCTCCACCTATCTAGCACCAACTACCACACCTGGCATTTTTATACAAGTTCTGGGACTTGAATTCAAGTCCTCGGGCTTGCAAGGTAGGGACTTTATCAACGGACCTATCTGCCCAGCCATCTTTATTATTTTTTTTTTAATGTAGCTCTAAGAAAAACACATGTCTAGAATGCAACTAATACAAGGCCTGGTGAGGTGACTCAGCAGATAGAAGCTCTTGTTTCAAGCCTGATAACCTGGTAGGAGAGAACCAACTCCTTCGAGTTGTCCTCTGACCTCCACATACATAATTTTACACATAAATAATGTAAAACAAAATTTAAAGAATTCGGTTAAATAGGTGACTGCAAAGAAAAGATTAATATTCTCCTATTCTACAATAAGTATTGTGTCTTCTACCCTTCAAGTATTAATTTAACAAGCCGAACAGTAGTGGTGCACACCTTTGATCCCAGCACTCGGGAGGCAGAGGCAGGAGGATCTCTGTGATTGAGGCCAGCTTGGTCTACAGAGTGAGTTCCAGAACAGTCTCCAAAGCTACACAAACAAGTCCTATCATGAAAAAAAATTAAATAAAATTAAATTAAACAAATTGAATATTATACGAGTCCAGTACTCAACAGTGTAGAAATTTCCTGCTGTGATTTAGAGAAACATTTTGTGACAACTGCTTTCATTCTACATATAAAATGTCACCTAATTAGGAAGGTCTTGAAAATTTTCCACAAGATGTGATTTTTTTAAGAGTAGACTTAAATAAAAGTGAGGTATATGAGCCTCAACAATAAATATGAAAGACAGGGTCCATGTTGCTTGTGTTTGCTAAACTCCTGGATTCTCTCTATGCAGTGAATTTGACCTTGGATCTGGACTCAGCCCATAACCGCCTCATCATCTCTGAAGACCTGAGGAGTGTCTACTGTGGGTCTAAGCAGCAGGACCGCAAAGAATGTGCAGATAGATTCCAAATCTCCACGTGCGTCCTGGGCTCTTCACGGTTCACTTCCGGACGCCATTACTGGGAGGTAGTGGTGGGAACCAGCAAAGAATGGGATATAGGCATTTGCAAAGAATCGGTTAACCGAGAAAAGCCAATTAATCTGACGGAAGGGCATGGATTCTGGACTGTGGGTGTGAGAAATGGAGAGGTCTATGAGGCTTGCACTGAACCCTTGACCAAGCTCATCGTGAACCCTCGGTTGCACAGGGTGGGGATTTTCCTTGACCTAGTAACGAAGAACGTTTCCTTCTGGGACCTTAGCGATGACTCCCACATCTTTACATTCTTCAAAATTCCTGACATGGATCCATTTCGCCCATTCTTTGCTCCATCAAATTCGTATCCAGATGATCAAGACCAAGTCCTCACTATCTGTCCTGTGTTGAATCCAGGCATTTTCAGGCGTCGTCCAGTTAACCCCTACTGATCCTCGAATATGAAAGCTCCTGTGGAAAATTGCTGTCTACTCGTAAGCATGTCTAAGAATTTTTGTGTTTGGTACACACAGGGCACAGAAGCATTGCAGAAATATTTTGAGGGCATCACGTATTCTAATTAGTTAGGAAATTTTTCATTTTTAATATGAAGTATCATCATGATTGTTTTGCTTGGAATTTGTTTAAATTTCTGTTCCCATTCTTGTATTGTGAACTTTTAGATGAACTTTGAATGTTTTCCTTTTTATCTTTTATAATAATAAATTGTGTTGTGGAATAAATAAACTAAATTAAAATTTTAGATTTGACCAAGCAGGCTGATTGGTTTTCTAAATGACAAGGAAATAAGACTTATACATATATATATATATATATGTGTGTGTGTGTGTGTGTGTGTGTGTATTAAAAAAGAACAATGTTTATATATGCTGCCTCACCCAATAACTTTTAACATCACAAATTCATCTCACATACACATTTAATATTCACTACGGGTAGTTATTAAAAATGCTAATTTTAAAGTTAAATTATTTGCCCTCAGGACTGGAGAGATACCTCAGTAGATTGTATGCTTGCCAAGCATGAGAGTTAAATTCCCAGAGCTCTCATAAAAGAGAGGGTGGGAGAGACGACGGGTCAGTGGTTAAGAGCACTGCTGTTCTTCCAGAGAACTCAAGTTCTGTAGTGAGATAGTCCTTCTGTGGCACTGACCACGCCCATTGGGGGGTGGAGCGATGGGCAGAAGTGACCTGTGGAAGGAAGTGGGGGGGGGGGTAGCCAGGAAAAGCTCTCTTGCTGACATGACTTGGACAGGAGAGGATCGGGTTGAATTTCCTGGTGTTCATCTGTCTAGGTTGTAAGTTATTTCTCCCTGAATAAATATCTATTCGGCCTATTTGTTTATCCTGATCCTTATTTAACCACAATAAAGTTCAGTTTCCAGCACCCACATCAGGCATCTCACAATTGCCTGTAGCTCCAGCTCCAGGGGGTCCAGTGCCCTTTACTGGCCTCCGTAAACATTTGCACACATGTGCACATGCTTACACAGACATACCACATATACCCATAAAAATAACATCAATCTTTCCAAGCAGTGGTGGCACATGCCTTTAAACCCAGCACTTGGGAAGCAGAGGCAGGAGGATCTCTGAGTTTGAGGCCAGCCTGATCTACAGAGCAAGGACAGCCAGGCTACACAGAGAAACAATAAAAAATGTCAAGTTAAATAAGCTAAATAAGTAACAGAGGGTTAGCATGAGTAAGAAAAACACAAAATGGCCAAAAACAGTGGCTCTTGTCTCTAACTCCAGCATTTGGAAAGATTAGCCAGGAGGACAAGTTCTAACGGGATCAGACTGTGCTTCAGAGTGAATTCAAGGCCAGTGTGGGAAACTTAGTCACTGTGGGGGCAGGCTCTGAGGTCTCTTCTGTGTTCAGACCAGTACATACCCTCCTCCTGCTAGCTAGGGATCGAGATGTAAAACACTCAGATCTTTCTGCAGCACCATGTCTGCTTGCACACTGCTGTATCCCTCCACGACGATAATAAACTAAACCTCTGAAACTGTACGCCAGCCTCAATTAGTTTTCCTTTATAAGAATTACTGTGGCACGAACAAAACTCAAGTCCAAGTGGATCAAAGACCTGGACATAAATCCAGCCACACTGAACCTCTTAGAAGAGAAAGTGGGAGGTACCCTTGAACTAATTGGTACAAGAGATTATTTCCTGAACATAACTCCAGTAGCACAGACACAAAGATTAACAATTAATAAATGGGGCCTCCTTAAACTTAGAAGTTTCTGTAAGGCAAAGGACGCAGTTGACAAGACCAAATGGCAGCCCACAGACTGGAAAAAGATCTTCACCAATCCTACATCTGACAGAGGGCTGATCTCCAAAATATACAAAGAACTCAAGAAACTAGTCAACAAAACACCAAATAACCCTATTTAAAAATGGGGTACAGAACTGAAGAAAGAATTCTCAATAGAGGAAATCAAAAAGGCTGAAAGACACTTAAGAAAGTGCTCAACATCCTTAGCTATCAGGGAAATGCAAATCAAAAAAAAACTTTGAGATAGCATCTTACTCCTGCCAGAATGGCTAAAATTAGAAACACCAATGACAACTTATGCTGGAGAGGATGTGGAGAAAGGGGAACGCTCCTCCACTGCTGGTGGGAGTGCAAACTCATACAGCCATTTTGGAGATCAGTATGGTGGTTCCTCAGGAAAATGGGAATTAGTTTACCACAGGACCCGGCAATCCCCCTCTTAGGCATATACCCAAATGATCCACATCCATGCAACAAAGACATGTGCTCAACTATGTTCATAGCAGCATTATGTGTAATAGCAAGAACCTGGAAGCCCCTCAACTGAAAATAGATAAAGAAGATGTAACCCATCCACACAATGGAATACTATGTGGGAAAAAAACAATGAAATCTTGAAATTCGCAGGAAAGTGGATGGAACTTGAAGAAACCATTCACAAAAAAAGGAATATGGTACATACTTGCTCATATATGGATTTTAGACACAGAGCAAAGGATCACCAGCCTATAATTCACACCACCAGAGGAACTAGGACACAAGGTGTATTCTAAGAGATTCATATAAAGTCCCTCACAGAAGGGGGAAGGGACAAGTCCCCCAGAGCTCAGGTGAGGGTGGGACAGTGAGTGGAGAGGGAACTAGGAGAAAGAGAAGGGGAGGAGAGGAAAGCACGTGGGACTAGGAAGATTGAGTCAGGGTAGGAATAGAAGACGAGAGAGAGAGAGAGAGAGAGAGAGAGAGAGAGAGAGAGAGAGAGAGAGAGAGAGAACATAAAAGAGGGAGCCATTATAGGACTGAAGAGAAAACTGAACCTAAAGAAATATCCAGAGACCTACAAGACTGACTCCAACTAACAATTTGAGCAACAGTGGAAAGGCTACCATAAATGCCCTTCCCTGATAATGAGATCAACGACTAACTTATCCACCATCATGGAGCTCTCATCTAGTAGCTGATGGAAACAGAAGCAAACACTCACAACTAAACACTGAGCTGAACAAGAGGGAGAGGACAAGACCACACTGCAGAAACATATAGAGACAGCTAACCTGAACAAGGAGGAGCTAATGGGCCCCCAGATTGATAGCTGGGAATCCAGCATGGGACTGACTCAGACACCCTGAATATGGGTCTCAGCTAGGAGGCCTGAGCAGTCTAAGGGACCTAAGACAGTATAACCAGGATGTTTTCCTGGTCCACAAAGGACCTTGCGGACATATCCCCCATGGAGGGATACTGGGATACTCCCTTAACCTAAAGACAGGAGAGACATCCTAGTCCCTACGTCAAATGACTTGACAGATTTAGATGACCCCTCCTGGATTGCATTACCCTACATGTGGAGTGGGGGGGGGAGGGAGGGTGGTCAGGGTCCATGAGAGGAGGGGAGAGAGGGAAAGAGAGAGGGTGGGAGGGAGGGTTAACTGGGATATATATGTATAATAAAAATTAAAATAATATAAAAAAAGAATTACTGTGGTCATGGTGTCTCTTTGCAGCAACAGAAACCCTGATTTAACCATCTAGTAAGCATGAGACCCTATGCTCAATCCTCAGTCCCAAACAAAAAGTGAGTGCAGGGCTGGGTATACTGTTCTGTGGTAGAGCATTTGCCTAGCATTTGCGAGGCCCTCAGTTCATATCCTAGCTTTACAAGATGGATGGATGGATGGATGGATGGATGGATGGATGGATGGATGATGATAGGTAGATGGTAGATGATTGATAGCTAGATGATAGATTGATGGATAGATGATAGGTAGATGATAGCTAGATGGCAGGTAGATTGATAGATGATAAATGATTGATAGATAGATGATAGATGATAGATAGATAGATAGATAGATAGATAGATAGATGATAAAGCCAAATGTAGTTGGTACACACCTATATTCACAGAACTTGAGAGGTGGTGGTAGGAGAATCGGATCGGAATTTCAAAGTTACTTTTGGCAACATAGAGAGGCCAGCCTAGGCTACTTGGAATCCTGCGGAACCAGGATGTGTCCCTGGTGCTCGAACAGACTTTGGGAGCACATTCCCCATGGAGGGATACTCTCTCAGCCTAGAGACACGAGGGAGGGCCTAGGCCATGCCCCAAAAGACAGATTTTGATGATTCCTCATGGATGGCTTCACCCTCTCTAGGGAGTGGATGCTGGATGGGATGGGGGGGGACCAGGGGGCATGGGAGGATGGGAGGGAGAGGGAACTGGGATCGATATTAAAATAAGAAAAATATTAAATAATAATAAGTGAAATTTTAAAAAACTTTTTAAAAAAAGCTAAAGAGGGAGCTGACTTGTGGTACACACCTTTTATCCCAACACTCAGAAGGCAGAGGCAGAGACAGGTGGATCTCTGTGAGTTTGAGACCAGCCTGGTCTGCACAGTGAGTCCCTGGATAGCCAGAGAGACCCCAACTCAACAAAATTTAAAGAGGGTCAGTGAGATGGCTGAGCAGGTAAAGGTGTTTGTTTCCGAGCCTGGTTACCTGAGTTTGATTCCTGAGTTCTATATAGTAGAAGAAAACCAATTCCCTCAAGATGCCTTCTGAGTTACACACACACACACACACACACACACACACACACACACACACACTGATTGAATCTTTCATAACATGACATCTCATTTCTAGCCCTATAGTTCCCACCCCGACTTCATGTTTGTTTTTTGTGTTTCAGTGGTAAGGGGAACCTGTCACAGTGCACTCATGGAGCTCAGACATCAGCCTTTGAGAGTCACTTTTCTCCTTCCACCATGTAGACCCCAAACTGAACTCGGCAAGTGCCTTTACCCACCACAAAGGGGGATCAGGTCGATGACACTCCAACGCTTGGGAGAGGAACAAGCCTGAGCTCTGTAATGAAGAATAAAGTATATGGGTGTGTCTGATGTATTTTCTCACGGTTGTGGAGGTTGAAG